GCTGGAGCCCAAGAGTCCGAAGAGGAGGAGAAAGGCGCTTCCCCGGCTGCGGCAGCGGCGTCGGCTGCGGTACGACTCCATGTGTCAGCAGGGGAGTGCGGCAACAAAGGCTATGTGGGCTGCTGCAGCCCCAAGCTGAGGGCACGGCACACATGCTTGCATACAACCTGCCGAGACTGGCTGCGAGCTTGGGGCATGTCACAACCTAACCTGACCTAGCCTTATGCAACGGGGCGGCCATGTACAGCTGTAACAGTTTTAGTGTCGGCGTTTGTGACATGCAGCTGCGTACCTGAGTGCAGAACTGAGTGCGTATCATAACAGTGGGGCCTAGGGAGGGGCAGCGATGGGCCTAGGGAAGGTGAACGGCAATTATGTTTGCCGGCTCAAGTGAAGCTTCTGTTACAGAGTGCAAAAAAGGAAGGGGGGCGAGGAGACTAAACCACAACAAACCCAAAGGGGTGGGGGAAAAGTCGAAGAAAGGGTTCACGATGCCTAAGGGCATCTCGGCGTGCCTGTCGGGCTTGCAGACCTACCGTCCATTACCCCATCGCGCGATGGCCTGGTCAAGGCGGCCTTCCCCTTGTGCGCGCTGGCGCCGGTTGGCTCCTCCCGCCCTAGCAGCATTAGGGGCAAGGTTGGGTGCCCCTGGCAGGGTCAATTGGGTCCCGGTGGCCCAAGGAGGGTCGAAATGGTCGACGAAGACCTGCTGCAGTCTATTCCAGGCGTTGCGGTCGGATGCAGTTATCCACCACTGTGCGCCAGCAATTGTGATGATGTGTCTTTCAGGATCTCGGTCGGGGTTATGATGCCCCCTGTGTCGAACTCCTCGGGGATACGGCCCCGGGATTTTGGACTGCTCATCTCTCCACCATGCCATATCTCGCCACCTGAGTAAGTGAAAAGTCGGTTGAAAGGGCGCTCGGGCGATGTGCCCCCAGAGGCTCCATTGCATCTGCAAGGCATGAGTGGACCATCTACTGACCTTATGTTGGTGGAGAAGGGCTCTCGCCCTGCGCATGGTGCGCACGTGCCAGGAGTGCCAGGCCTCTGTTGCGGGGCGTTTCCCCGTAGTCATCGTTCTGACTTGGAGGAGCTGGGTGCTGTTAGCGGCCTGGACGAGGGCTTGATTGATAGGCCACGCGGGGCAGCCATAGAGGGCAGCGCTGCGGACTAAACTCTGGTGGAGTAGCAGGCGTTCGCGCAAGGGCGCTCGGGAGCAGAGGATGTGCTTGTGCAAATGAAATGCTCTTCTTGCGCGGGCTTGCATCTCAGCGACAATCGGGGAAACATCCCCGGACATGGAAACTGGCGCACCTAGAATGATCATGACGTCGTCTGGCCCGTCGGGCTTAACGGAGTGGCCTCCGATATGAAAAAGGACCGGGTCATCTTTGCAATTGGAGATGACTTGGGTCTTTTTTGCATTGATTTTAAGGCCTATGTCAAGTAAACGACGTTCCAATTCCGTGAGGATCTGCTGGACGTATTCATGTGACTCACCCCACAGGTACGTGTCGTCCATGAACGAAGCTCCTGAGTGCGGTGGTGGGCCCAAGGCCTTGTGCCGGCCGACGTGAGGGGGTGTCCCCTGGTTAATGGCGCCTAGGGTCGCGTCGAGGACTTCCCCTATCTCAGCAGCGAACAGCACGGGACTGTCGGGGCTCCCTTGCCTTACCCCGTTGGACTGCTCGACCCCGACCTGGTGCTTGTGGACGAAAAACTGGATTTCCCGTGCCTCTAGGAGGCTAAACCAAAGTCTTGCCTCCCACGGCATGCCTCCTTGTTTGGCAATGCGGCGCATGACGAGTTCACCTAGTTTTTCCTGGGCTACAGAATCGAAGGCCTTGGCAATGTCAATTTTGACAATGTAGAAGGGAGTATGCCACTCATGAGCAACGCGCGCTATCTTACGAAGAGAAAGGACTAGTTCGACTCCTTGTTTCCCTTTACTGGCCCATTGGTGATGACAACACTGCTGCAGAAGGGGGACTCCCCTATGGAGGAGCAACTGCGAAGTCCACTTGAGTAATGCGCTGGACAGCGTGATTGGTCGTGTGTCCGACCACGACAAAGGCTGCACGCACTTCGGCAAAAGGACAGAAGCCCCCTGCATGATCCAAGGGGGAAGTTCGCCCTTGTACAATCCATCATTCAGTAGCTCCGCGATTTTGGAGCGCCATGCTGGATGCTCAAACATGAGCCGAAGCGCCTCGAGGGCAATGCCGTCTGGACCTGTCGCGCGGTGGTTTTTCCACCGGGCCATGGTGATGCGCATCTCGGCCTCAGTGAAGGGGCGCCAGGGCGTGCGCTTGCATAGTGCAGTTGCCTCAGCATGAAGGAGGCACATGGCATTCCGAGTTGCTGCCGGGGCGGCCTTACAGAAAATGCCCCGCATATGCGCGGTGAGTTTGGATGACCATGCGGGATCATCCAAGAGGACATCGGCCCAATTGGTCTTGGAATCTTTTCTCTTTAACGAGCGAAGGGCGTCCCAGTTGTGGTCCCCTGCCTGGTCAGCGAGCTGTCGCTTCCATGCTTTGCGTTCTTGCTGCAAAGATTTATGTATGAGCTTCCAGGCTTGACGTGCGGGTGTCCCCGGTTCAAGGTCCCTGGCTTGGCGCCGCATGCGCTTAAGGGCCGAACTCTCCTGGAACTTAAGGGACCTATGGACCGGTTCCGTTATAAGTTTGGCGGCACTGGCGATAGAGGAATGCAGGTCTGCTTCAAGAGGGCGGTGGGCTTGGAGCTTTCTTTCCGCCCCCGATGCGAGCTGGCGAGCGCACCACAAAACCCCTATCTTAGGTGGCTTTTTGAGGGGCAGACGCAGTTTGCAAAGAATCGGCTCGTGGTCGGAGCTAGCCCGGTCCCTATGCTGACCAACTCGCGCATCTAGCACGTGGATTCCCCGGGTGGCAACATAATCAAGTCTGCGGGGGGACATGGCGGAATTGTAGGGGAAATAGGAGGGTCGGTCGATCTCTTGCGAAGGCAGCACAATGCTCTGTTCCAGGCACCACTGGAGAATCTGTTCACCTCGACCTGTGCAGGAAAGGCTGCTGTTACCGAGGTGGCCCCCGGGCTGGATGAAGGTTTCATTGGCATCAAAGCCGAGGAGGAGCCTATCAGCATGCAGACCTGGTGCGAGCGCCCACTCACCGAGGCATGCGGCGGTTTGTGCAATGGTAAATTTATGGGAAACATGCCCCGAAAGAACCCCTAGAGAGCGGCTGTCGTGGCATCGAAGGGTCATGCAAACAGCGGCTTTGCAAACACGGGTATTCTCGTGTGTGCCTAGGACCTTGACAAACGCAATGGCACAACCTCTCCACTCGTTTGCTTGCTTGCCGTGGATTAGCATCCACGTGTCGTTTTGATCAAAGTGAGGGCCTCCGGCGGTCGTGATCTCTTGGAGAAGAACGATCTGGAGGCTTTGCAGTTCAGGCGTGCCCCTGAAGTTGGTGAGGAAGTCCAGAGTTTTCTCCGGGCTCATCCCCCCGACGTTCCAGGTGGCAAAGGACAAAAAAGCGGCGTCATCTTGATGCCGGCCAACAGCTCGCGGTGAGTGAGACATCAGGGGTAAATCCCCTTCTTCGCCATTCAGGCATTCTTCATCTAGTCAACGAAGCGCTCCTAGCAGAGGCTCCCACGCCTTTTCCAACTGACCAAGTGGAAGACCGAGCAGCTTGGCAATGGACTTCAGGTCCACCCACCCACATCCCGCTGGATCAGTGTTGGCGGGGCAGGATGAAGACCCCGAGCTAACCTTGTGGTCTTTGAACCACACAGTGCCTGTGGCCCACTCAGGCTCGATCTGTGGCATGGTGGATGGCCCCCCTGCCTCAATAATGAGGCGTTTGACTTTGCCAGCTAAAGCAGCACGGCGTCTGCGTTCTGGGGGCTGGCTAATGGAGAGCCATAGTCGAGCTGCGTTACCGTCGGGCTTGCGGCCTAAGGTAACATTTGCGGCGGCAACGCGCCGGATGCATGTTTGCATACGCTGGCGCATGGCTTCATCAGTCTCACCATCCTGCGGCGCAGTGGGGATCAGGACGAAACCCCTGCGAACTCCCGGTACAAAAGCATCTGACATGTTGAGTTGTAGTTGAAGGTCTCGGGCCATCTCGTTGGCTTTCTGAAGGACTTCACTGGCCTGGGTTTCTGGAGGCCATCCCCCCATGATGAGGGCGGGGACTCGCCCCGTGTCCGCAGTTGAGGGGGGTACTCCCCGATGCTTGGATGCTCTTCACGGTCGTCTCAAGGAAGCTGATTCTTCCAGCCATAGTCTTCGTGTCGTTGGCGATGTCGGCGATGCGCAAAGCTTGGTCTGCTTGGTTCGTGGAAAGGGTCTCCACGGCTTGAAAAGTGCGATCGTTGTGCTGCTGGAGATTGCGCTCCACGGCTGCCACTCGGTCGGACAGGCCTGTGACCGCGCCTTGGATCTCGCCTCTGACAACGTCCCGGATGGCTTCCAAACTCAAGCCTTCATCATGCACGGCTCGCTTCTTTTGAGGGGATTCAGTTGGCGGTCCCATGCTCCCCTGCATCTGGCTATCTGTCATGTAGATGTTGTTCCGAATCTTGACCTCGAGGGGGTCGGCGAGTAGGGTCGCCGATGCCGTAGGCGCAGAGGTTTGAGAAAAGGCAGAAAGGAGAGCGCACAGATGCCGTACAGAACTGTTGCACAACAAGTTCCCCGGCCGAAGCGATGTGGACGAAGAGCGCAGTCAATTCCTTCACGCCCCCGAGCAATGGCAAAGAGATGAGAGAAGGCACAGGGAGCAGGCCAAGCGCCGGGGTTTACAGGATCGAGGGCCTCACAGAAGAGAGAGCAGGAAAGACTGGGGCGGAGAGGCCCTGACGTCCTTGAACCACTCGCGGCTTGAGCCAAAATGGCTACGCTCTCTCTCTCTCTCTCTCTCTCAGAAGATGTCACGGAATTTCACGACAATAGGCCCTACAGTAGCCAATCCATTGGCTTCAGACTTGAGGCAAGAGGCCGACGCCATGACAGGGCACCGCATAGTCCTCCACAGGGCTCAGGTCAGGGACCCCGGATGCTTGCGAAGGCCACAAATCGGGTACTCGGCCAGGCGCATATGCTTCCTCTAACTTTCAACCAACCTATGGAAGTACTTGCGGCCGCCCTAAAAAAGCTAGGTTTTGAAACCGTGGGTCGGTCCAACACACCTTCCAGACTACCGGGTTATTGACGGTGACTCACATGAAGTCGTCGGCTTTCCATGACCACGGCTCAGCAATCCAAGAAAGCACGCCTCCTGTGGGAGGACGGGCTCGGAGGATGACTTCTCCATGGTGGACCTCACAACGAGGAATGCACGACTGAGCGATGCCGCATGTGCCGCGAGTGCCCGTCGCGAGAGCTACATGGCAACACATGGCCGCACACTCACACTTGGCGTTTCACTCCGATCAAAGACAGCGCAGACAGTCCAAGCACATCCAAGGACCCTGCCCGTCTCTCAGCACCCTTCTTGCCCGGGGCTTGGAGCGACGAGCCCAGACGGCAACGCGGGAGGGCACATCAAACGAATGCGTTGCGACTGGCGTCGTGACTGGTGTCCAATCAGCGATCAGTACATGGGCCCACATGTCTCACTTGCCTTTGGCCTTCTTGTGGTGCCCTGCCCTGCCCAGGCCTCGCCTCCGAGTCTCCGATCTGGTCCATGCGTGCTGCCCCGGCCAGATCGACCGTCTGCAGCTGTGCCCGCCTGGATACTCCGCATGTGCGAGACAGCTCGATTCGGTGCGGCTGCCAGCTGGAGGCGGTTCTTCCGGAAGCTGTGACATGCTCCAGTACACTTGCCGCAGCCTCCGCTTCGTGTCTTCCAAAGCACGTCCCGGCACGAGCTGCTCCACCTGGAAAGTCGCCACAGCGTGAGAGCCTCGAGAGATCTCGAGAGTCCGGCTACAGTTCTGCCTCACAGGACACATCAGGACACGGAGGAAGGCTTTCGAGGCGTCAGCGCGAAGAGGCCGCGTTCATGTTGGTTCTCGCAACAGCGCGCATCTTGTGACCTTGGCAAGCACTCCGCCAATGATGCGGAAAGCAAACCCCACCCTCAGGCCTTGGGCACCGACCGAAGTCCAATAAGCGCAAGACATCGGCGACACTTGACACCACGCTCCAGGAGAGATCTCGGCACGGCTCACAAGCGGAAGTTGAATAGCTGGCCTGCAGACTAACAGGCAATGAAAACTTCGAGCAGCTTTTTACCTCCAGCCTGCCTCTCCAAAATGGGCTATACAATGACTAAGCTCTGCCACTTAGCAGCCCCTGCCATCGCAACAGTTTTGGCAGCAGCATGTGTGACAGCTGCATCCACGAGAGACCGAAAATTTGCTAATGGTGCGAAAATTGACGATGGGTGAAAACTCCGATGTACAAATTCCAGTTTGCGTGCTTCTATCCAGATGGCACGTGTACTCAATTTATCTCAAGTTGAACTACAAGACGCTTTGTTGTGCTGCTTGCTGCTTGCATTCTCCAGCTTCAGCTCGGATAGAAGAGCGTCGACGAATGACTACTTGCTAGATACAGTACCTTAATGAGCCTTGTCACTACAAACAAGAAATCGATCCGCTCCTTGGCATGTGTGGCCACCGTGCTACCGCAACTCAACCTCGAGCTCTTTGACCAAACCTTAGAGTCTGCAGTGCGGGCAAGCGGATAATGCACGTAACACATCCTGCGTTTGAAGAAGGCTAAGTTACACAGGTTCCAGAAGCACCCTCAGATTCAGCACTTTAGATGGCAGAGGGCGCTCCAGCACGGTCTCGTGCTTGGCATTGACCTCCTCGTTCGTCAGAGTCCGTGACATGTCTCGCCAGGTCACTCGGAACATCTTGGATCTTTTTCCTGCCCAGGAGCGCATAAAGCCGCACGGCATTTCTTCACTCATTCACGCCTGTCTTCGGATGCGTGAAGTCGTCCATCAGATCCACCTTCTCGACCTGATCAAATCGTTCGCAGCTGCTGCAGCCAGATCAAAGTTCTCTCGGGAGCCTGGTCACCGCCCTCATCGCGAATCATCTCGAACAGGTCATTATCAGCAAAGCTCTCTGGGATCCACATGCTGATGTCCTCACGACAGTGTCAATTTGGAAAACGAACCCAAGCACCGAGGCCAGCGAGCCTTGAGCACAGGAGGATACTTGGAGAAAGGCTTGAATCGTGTCTTCCTCGGAAAATTTTTATCTGAGTCTCGGCAAGATCAAGACAACGCAAACAGAAACAGACCCAGCTGTTCATGTGCTGGCCAAGTCTCTCAGCAAAGGACTCCGGGGCAAACTGTTCAGAGAAACGAGGATCCTCTGACCAGAAGAGACGAATGTCAGGAATGCCGAAGAGCACCTGGGAAAGGAAACTTGACCGCTTGCATCTTCATGCATGCATACCTGCCTGCCTACCTACCCTCCTACATACCCGGACCTACCTACCTCCATCATCCATTTATTCATGCATGGGTACATACATATACGAACATCTGGCCTTTACATTTGCAGCACATGCATGCAAGCTAGCAACAAGCGAGATTCGAACATCGCCTCCTCTCATAATGCAAATGTTGTACTAATTATCCTGTGTGTTCCCCCCCGCCCGTTGGCCCCACGATGCGTTGACGGGGCAAGGGCTACCTACTATGGTTTTGCGATGTATCGAGGGTTCAGGCAACGAAAAAAGTTGGACGCAGAACTGCGCCGTTGCAATACGCGACGTGAACGAAAGCATTGATTTTGCGAAACAATTGCGTGGCCCAAACAAAGTGTATGCCTTCGCAGGCTCAACGGACGTTACTATGGCTTGGGCACGGGTGCTCTGGCAAACCGACCTCAGTGGAGCAAACGGCGGCGAGGAGCGGATCCTAAATCCTGCAGCAGCCTATTGTGTGATTCGATACTGCAACAACCTATGTCATGATTCAGTCTGTGCTACTGGACAACACGTTTAGAGAGGAGTCGCTGGAAACCCACAAGGCCGGATCACAACTAAGGCTACACCAAACGGCACAAAGTGCCAGGTGCACCTGCGACTGACTGTACGCCAGTCGAGGCTTAGAAATGCAACACTCGTTGTGTAACTTTCGCGATTATGGTTCCCGCGTCTTCAGCATTATCTCTAGTACCGTGTCTAGCACCAGCAGCATTATCAGTAAGAAAACCCATCCCGGTCCCGGCTGCTGCCACAGGCACCATGGCTAGGCGCTCGAGCCCGAGGCCAAAAGCCCAGCCGTGGACCTTCGCCGGGTCCAGGCCGGCGTTCCGCAAGACCTGCGGTCCGTCTGCAGTTTTATACAGAAAAAGCCGAGAGAGAGAGAGAGAGAGAGACAGCAAGAGAGAGGGATAGAGAGACAATGTATGTACATGTGTGTGCATACATATACAATACATGTACCATAGCATGACATCAGATATACGCACGTGAATGCTGTGTTTAGGGTCTTGGACATCTCCCGGAACGTATGCTAGCACACAAGATAACGTAACACACTCACAAAGCACGAAGATGAACATGCGACGAGTAGACTGCATGGCAGTATACGCTATACTGTGGATAACGAGCCATATTGCAAAATAGTCATACATGTTATTCGCAGATAACATGCAGAAACAACATGTTGATTCACTACAGAACAAAACACTCTATCCAGTGTGACAAGTCTACAACCTTCAGCAATAACTTACGAAGGCACTGGAAGTGGTAGTCGTCGTAGAAAATCTACCGTGACATATCTTAAGGCTTCAACTGCGAAGTCTGCCACAGCACACATGCAGGCTCAAAGGGCAGTTCATATCTGTACTGCAAAGCACCTGACGGAATCACAGCTAACTTGACCGCAACGGAACACCAGGTGCACTATCTTGCCGAAACTGAGCTGCAAACATCGTGGTGAATGACCTCAGAACTTGCCCAAAGGGGAGTACCCGAGAAAGTGAGGCACACAGTTTGGGTCGGCTCTGGTGCACTGAGGCCCGAACGCCACAGCCCAGCACTTCCATCCAGTCGTCCTGATAGAAGATCTCCAGCTCCAGAGATGGCTCGGTAAAGGGAAAATACTCGTCAAGCCATCGCATAGTATCTTCCCCTGTCTTAAGCTGGAACAAATGGGCGGCCAAGCCTTCCAGAGTCTTCTTCAAATCCTCCAGGACTTCCTCTCGTGAGACCTTCTCCGCATCAAAGAGCCTGACCCCTTCACACTGGTGGAAGGCTGGATAGTGCGATGCATCAATCTCATCTCTCCTGTAGACATCGCCGGCACACAAGAAGGATGTAATCTTGGGATACTGGCTCAAGAACTGGCATTGGTGTGCGGAAGTGTGAGTTCTCAAGACATAGTCTTTGTTCACATAGTAAGTGTCCGATGGCGATCGAGATGGGTGCTCTGGTGGAACTCGCAACTTGTCGAAGCAGTCCACTGTGTTCACAACCGGCTTTTCAGTGTCGAAGAACTTGCAGTTCGGATCCTGCTCTTCAAAATAGTCCTGAACCGTTCTCCACAAGATCCCCAGAGGATGCTTGGGGTTCAACAAGAGATCCTTGCCGAGCTTCTCTCGGACACCGGCCGGAACGTTGTATTTCTCGTCTGGTGCCACACCGAGAAGCTCACCTGGAGGAGCCAGCACCGTCGCGGCCATGCGACCAGTCAAAGAAGCCCGCTGCTTGAGTGGCTGATGTCTCAGAGACTTGGCCGCTGAGAACGCACGACGCTGCACGCCCGAGCTCGAGCGAAGCCCAAGCTTCTGCAAAGCTACGAGGGCCGAAGCTGCCACGGCGCCAGCCATGGCTGAGTGGAAAGCTCCACTGGACTGGCCGGCTGTGCGTCCTGTCCGGTCCGTCCGTCCGCAAGGAACTTGGATTGAAGCGCCAGCCGGCGTGCTCAGCGTTCCGGGAGCGAGGAATGCCCTGCCCAGATGGCTCATTGCGTTCCCACGCTTGCGCAGTGGATCAAACTACTCACGTCCCTTGAACCAGCTGCAGATTTCAAGGGTCACATGACACAGAGATGCACACTGACGGACTGCACTAGAAGCACTTGGCTCAGTGCTGCCGACGAAGACGCCCACGCGGGGATGCTGCCGGACCTATCCAGTCTTCGCTTCTGACAGCTCCATGCAAATGGAAATACAGCGAGGCCGGATAGTGTGCAGCTCCCTGCAACAGCCGATCGGTTTTCTTAGTTTGAAGCGCCAGAACCGCTCTGCTTCTGGGCCTCCAAGGCTGGAGCTTTGGCCTTCCCAGGACGTAGAAGGTCTTGAATGCGCCTGAGCGCAGAAGTCCGAGTCTCCAAACTATACACCGTCCTTTCACGCGCCTCTGCCCGAGGCCCTCACTCGTTGTACAGCTCCAGGTACGAAAACTTAACGATGTGCTTCTGGCAGGCAGAAAATAGAGACTGAGACTCTGACTCCCTTGTGGGAAAATTCGCAGTCAAAAACGAAGCCTCGCCGCGAGCTCGCAGCACCCTGAATATGCCCTCTGCCAGACGAGGAACAAGACCTTGCTGCTCCTCGAACGAATGCGTCTGGTTTCTACAGCTCTGGAATCTGCTGCAACCGGTTCTGAAAAAGCGTACATACGAGTTTCTGCCACCGGATGCTCAATCCGACTTCGCACTCGATCTTCCCACACTCTAGTGCTTCACCGCATCGATTTGCAACTCTCAGCACTCCTGTGGACGGCCTCCAAAGATGGTGTGACTCTTTCCTGTGCTCGATGGCCTAGCCCGCAGAAGAAGGCGCTCAAGCTACAGCCTGTACAAAGGAGCTCTGGGCAGGCAGCCCACATGCAATGACGGAGCAGTGCAAGCCTCGCAACGGTTGGATGATCGGTTCCGGGCCTGTGAAAAGCTCTTGGTGTACTCGAACCGTGCTGGCCTCCCACTGCATTCTGCACCAAGTGCTGCCCAAACAAGTTGTAGACAGCAGCCTGCACAGGAAAGATCAAGATACTCCACTGCAGTCGGGTCCGCTTCTGCCTGGGATCCCCTTCCGGAGAGCACCCAGTCCTCGATCCATGAGCCAAAGTTCGAAGGACAGAGTTACCTCCAGTCCTAAGCTCTGCACGAACTCCCAGGTCCGAGGCCAGCTCCTGAGCTCGTCTGCACTTTTCACGAGCATGGAGGGCGACGATACCGTTCTCTTGCCGCGGAGGGCACACAGACATGCACAGACACGGAAAGACTTTCCCTTCGTCCTGGACAAGCTCGAGAAGCTTTGAAACATGCTTGATTGAGAGGCTCGGTTCATCCTGGCCAGGAGGAAAACGGAACCGATCGCATCTGCAAGGGACCGTCTTAGGAAATTTGGCTCAGAACCCCAAATCCTAAACCCTAAACTCCAGAATGAGAAAGTTGGCTCATTCTGTGAAAGTTGGCTCCTGCTTGTTGAAGTCATGGACTCCACCAGCAGCAGCTTCAAGAGCCCGCTTCCCTGCACTCTCGGACTCACTCGGAGGGTTTAGGGATTTAGGGTTTAGAGGTGAACAACGCTACGCAGCTTGTGGGCGACCCTTCTTCCCAGAGCCAGAAGTAGTCACAGAGCCGTCAGAATGCCGGCAACTGCGCGAGCTACGGCCCTACCTGTTGAATTCCAGCTTGCATCGCCGGAGATGCAAACGAATGCAGAAAAAACTATCTGTAACTATCCTACTTAAACTATTGAAATGGCGACTACAACTATTTCCAAGGTCGTCTTCCGGCATACAAGAATTTCAATTCCTGCTTGAATTCTCTGCTGGTAAACATAGCAGCAAATCTGCGTGCCACAGCGAATTACAAGCACAGTACGAATTCGACACAAAGCTGTTGCAGTGACACCCGCGTTCTCTAGCACATGAATGTCAATCCAGACTGATGAAGGGCCTCCAGCTCTTGCGATCGAACTTCTCTGGCAACTGCTGCTTCAGCAACGAACTGTTCAAGGATCATTTTCTGTGCCAGAACATCTGTGTCAAGATTGTTCAGCACACCGCGCAGATGTTTCCGAAAGCAGCCAAATTGGATGGCCTCAGCACAAGTAAGCAAGCTGACAGACAAATGGAGCAACAATCAAACCAGGCCATGACTGGTGCGAAGCCGGGCCACATGTCCGTCTGGATTGAGCTTCTCGCGGAACATGGCTCTGTATGCATCCTCGACTTTAACCAGATCAGCATCGTCACCATGGTGAAGCACAGCAATGGTCAGGTTGATCTGCACAAGCTCATCTTCGCAGAGTAGTCCGTCACCATCCAAATCTTGCAACAGGAACAGCTCTCGCGAAAGCCTGTCCAACTCCTCACCGGTTCCATCGTCTGAGATCCAGCGATGCGGGCGCATAGATCGCTTCAAGGAGTCCTCAAGCCTGTGGGTGAACACCATTTCCTGCTCTGTGTGTCGCAGCTGCCTCGAGTATTGGATTTGCTCGATGCAGGCACGGTTGAATGCGTCCAAGTTGTCTGTACAAGGTGCTCCACATGCTGCACCCATCAGCTTCAACGGCGCTGGACCGAGAGCGAAAGAGGGGAAGATGGGAGAAGTTTCCTTGACTGGAGATTCGCGCAAGTCTCGGGCCTTCAAGCAATTGCAAATCTGCAGCCTCACAGCAACATACTGGTGCATAAGTCCCGGGTAGGTGCCTGCGGACCCGGAACAATGCTTGGAAGCTCGCCGTTGTTCGCCTGTGCAGTACGCAGGACATGCTGCACGTGCAGATTGTGCCATCTGTGCTCGGTGCCTCGCCTCATCAGATGTCAGTGGACGTATTCTGACGCACACCTACCACCAGGCGCCCGCAAGTCAACGCCACTAAACGCACTTCTGCGCAGCTGGGGGGAAAGCCCTGATTTGCTCTGAAATTCTCGGCAAATCCTCTCTGGAGAGCAGTCGTCGTCATGCGCCGTGCAAAATCGACTGGCTCCTGAAAATGGCTATGCCCATGGGCAGTTCCAGGAGACCATGTGGAGGTCAACTCCTGGCATGAGAGGAGCTTCGGCCAGGAACCCAACTGAAAGTTTTGCACGTCATAAGGGTGCCTTTCTGCCACCAGTGCTTGCCCTTGAATTCCTGAGTTCCCGGAAAGACACCCCAGGTCTTCATGTAAGCGGCAGTTTCTGAGGCGGCAGCTTCAAAGTCGAGCCCGAGCCCTTTGCAAATCAGTTCTAACCAGCCGACCAGTCTGCAGGCCTTTTGCATCAACGCTGAAGCCGTGCACTTGCTGTACACTATCCAAGGGTGAGCAACACTACACTCCTTCGGATCGAACACGGGCATGCTGCAATGCAGCAAAAGAGGCACCGGCACCGTGCGTGCCGCTCTCAGTAGCACTACATGCTGTCACATGCATGAATTTGAGTCTCTACAGACTCTACAGGATGCTCAGGGCCTTAGAGCGTGCACTTGTCTTCAGGCTCAGGACCTCCGCGAGGCTCGTTGGTCCTTGCCAGCAGATCGCTGTTGGGGAAGTCGGCCGCATCTTGGAGGACTTGCTGCACATTGTCTGCAACGACGGCGGCAAAGGCGTTGAAAGGCAAGTGATTTGATTGGTCATGGAACGGGCGCTCGCACGCCACGGCTGCTGCTTCCACTCCCAGGAGCGCATAGCTGATTAAAAGTACCATCGGTATTGACCACCAGGACTTCATCTGCAGAATCCAGGGTAGCCCAAGCAAGTAAAGAGTTAAACAGGTGCGCAGATGTGCCACATATGCAAATGGAAGTGGGGTGTTGTTAATCCTTTCCATCGCACCCATGGCGCCTGTAAGAGTGGATATATGGCCCTCCAGTGTCTGTAGCATCACAGCAGACACTGGTGCAGGATCTGTCGAATTGCTCCGAGTTGCTTTCAACACTGCATGCCGCATCCGATCACAGCAGAAGAGTGTCTGTACTGGGGCCTTGCTTAAGGCAAGAATCTGAGAGCTCGATAGGATGCCCTCGATGTCATCTAGGCGGGAATGCCCTCGGAGAAAGTTCCTTGTCGCCGCAGGAAATGCTACAACCCATCGACAAACCTCGTCGCAAGCCCAAGGATCATGAGCACAAAAGCGGACTGTTTCGCCAGCAAGCACCCGACATGTTTCTATCAGCTTTCCTGCTGCAGCTCGTGCATCATAGAATCTAACAGCGGACCGGTTCAAACGGTACACCAGCAAAAAAGTCAAGGGAGTCAGCAGCAGCGCGTAGTCCTCTTTGAGAGTTGCTTCTAACTCTGGAAGCTCCCACTGATGGCCAAAGATCAGATTGGATCCTTTCACGAAGGTTGCAGCCATCGCCATCGCAAAGACTGCAAGCAGAGGAGGTAAAGAATGTAAAACCGGGCGTCCACGCAAGGAAAGAACTGTGCGCAGCCACCCGCGGCAATCACAGCCAGCAGAGTCCGCCTTGTAAGTGACCATTTCTGGAGACGAACCACTGCAGCCAGGGAGTCCACACCAGCATTTACAGGCACGCTTGCTTGCACTTCTTGCACTCTTGCCACTGGCATCTGCGCGCTGGCGCTGGCGTTGCTGCAGCACAGCCAGCAGATTCGGTGATGGCACCGGAAAAGACCCAGGCGGCAGCATTCTGAGTCAACTAGCAGCAAGTCACGTTGCTCTACCAGCACTTGCTGCGAAGATTTGTCGTAATTAGCTTGTTTTTGTGGACAGCGTGAGAAGCACTGAGGTAGCCTCGCACCCCTGAATCTGAACTCTGACGGCATCATCGTTCGGAGAAATCTGGCGTCGACCGGTCATGCGACTGAATGTGAGGCTGTTTAGACCTGCGCGCCATATTGAATTTAGACGGACTGCAAACTTGGCCAGGCCTTTGAAAATGAAGTCCACGTCGCTGCACTTTGGCGACCTGACTAAGGGTGGCCACCCGAGGCCACGAACAGGAGGCACCCTCCGCCTGGCGAAGATCGTGGCATACGCCAGCTTGTCGATGTGGTTGCATCTGGCATGCGCCTGTGCAAAGAAACGGTAGACACATCGGAGTCGTGGTTCGCACATGCTAGAAAAGAAGCCTTTGCAGGTGCAGGCCAGGCCTTGTTGGCGCACGGCCAATGAAATCCTGTAGCTGCCCGTTCAAGTAAGCTGTACACCTTGAACTGTAAAAGGGCTCAAGGACAGAGATGCGGGTGGGAGCCTGGCACACTGCACGTGCTGCACAGATTGCGGCCGCTCAGGATTATCTTTTTGCTAAGCAAACATGAGTGCCCACATCGCAGCAAGGTTTCAGCTCTGTGAATGAGAGCACTACCAGCCCGGAGCTGTTTGCAGAACTACCCATACACGATACGACCTTGAAACAGCTCAGGGCAAAACACAGCATGCCGGGAAAGGAGTGTTCATTGGCAGCGCTTGGCTGCTTCTCCAGGACCATGACTGCCGCAGAACCCACTTCGTCCAGCGAATGTTCACATCAGGATTGCTTTCAGGTGTGTAACCGCCGTCGTTTTCAATGTCTCCTCTTTGCCCCTCAGCAATCCGCCATCTCTAAGGGGCAACCAAGACCAAAAAAGTCCTTTAGAGTTCAATCAGCACTCTGGGCTGCGCACTTCCCAAAGACCCCGAAGAGCCACATCAGAAAGAGCACAATGACCAGAACCTGGCTGTCATGGGGATCGCAACAAGCATGTCGCAACCGATGAACCGAGCAGGGACAACCAGCAACGCGACGAAGATCCACCTGGGACTGGGTTCCGGGCAGGGAATTGAAGACACTTCAGCTCATTCCTGTTTAAATCTGGGCTTATGACTTTTTGCTCTCTGCCTGTCGCAGATCTCTCTCGTCTTGATGATGCAGCGGCGCCTCGGAGGATTGGGCGCCCAGACAGGGCAGATTGACTCACTCCGAGCGCAGGGTCGCGGCGGAAGAGGTGTCCATGACAGAGGGAGTGTTGGTTGAGGACAGCTTGCTGGGGTCCTGTTCCAGGACGTCTGCAGCCACAGGGCAGAGCTCGGCTTCGTGAAAACCACCACAGCCTGAAATCCCTCGTACTTTTTCACCAGATCCCTCATCTGGTCTGCCAGCTTGTCGTTCAGCGCGTGCTTCTCAGCTTCGTCCAGGTTGGCGTCATCTCTTTCGACCAACCCGCGGAAATCTGGCATGGGTGCTGGGCAGACACATAGCTTGTGAATGAACATCAAAGCCAGGAAGACCGTACAGGAGCTGATAAGCTTGTCGCTCGGGGTATGTCAATAGCGATGTGACCTCATGCCAGGGGTGCAGAGTAGAGTCAGCTCGTGCAGCATCATGGGCAAGCGAGGCCGAGGCAACACAGTATAGAAGTCTAGCCTGCTCGTCCATGAGGCAGCAAACCTGCGTCGGAGTCATAGAGACCAACAGCCACTTTCATGATGAGGCTTTGCACAGCTAGGGACCAGGCGCTGCCATTGTTCCACTGCAGTCTAGTTCTCTGTCCAGCGGCAAGTTTCTGGGATGAAGCCTGCAGGAATGCTTGAAACCAAGATGGCAGTTCCTTCCGCAGTAAAGGAGCTCGTTTCTGCGGCCTGGCCTTGAGCAGCTTCTGGAAAACTTCCTGGGTCTGCTCCTAGCCAGGCAACCAGACAGGGCACGACCCCATGACACCAACCGGAGTACAGCGCTGACCTGCTGCTCCACGCTCTCTGGATCTATGTAGTACGCCAGCGTCACGCTATCCTCGCCGCAATGCTCAGGAGCCCCCCCCCCCCCCCCCCGGCCCGCTCGCGTGCAGCCGCGGCCTTGACCCGGCCAACAGCCAGGAATGGCAGCGAACTGCCCCCCCATGTTTGGTTCTGCATGTCGCCCCGTCAATGAGGCGCCACCATCCGTCTTTGAGCCGAATCATGCGGACACACAGCTGAAAGAAATCTGCGCTTTAGGTCAGAAGACGAATCACAGGCTGCCTAGCTGCCGACCTCATCATCGAACAGTACTTCTGCTTGCTGACTGCAACTCCCCCTCGTTGGGGTCTCGGTGCGGGATCCCTGGAGTGTCAGTCAGTCGCTTTTCCAACTCTTCTGCCGAGGGGCTTCGACCTCGATTCTCAATTCTCCCACAATGGGAAAAGCGGTAAAAGCTTCCACTTGCAAGACTGCGAAAATGATTACACTTCCTCCCTCTGCGCGTCTCATCCTCAAGCCTTGCGCCCCTCCCATGCCCTCCGCCATCCGACAGCGCTGTCAGCTGTCCGGGCAAGTC